GAAGGTGCTGTGAAGAATAGGGAGGCAGCATATAAGAAAGGCTCCTGCTTTGGCCAACATTTTTATTCTTTGCAGCATTGGAAGAAATAAGACTTTTTCCACAATTCCTGGGGCTGACGCTGAGACAAATCACCCATAGAAGGGAAGGAAAAAGAGGCAAAGTAGTGCCCACTTCAGATCTCACTGCTTTTAGATAAATTTATTGTCATTGTACTCAGAACCTGAGAACAACAAAATAAGGTGCTCTTTCACAACATACAACTGAACAACACCAAAGACATATACAAATAACAATGTAAAACAAATTAAAACAATTAACAGTTAAAAACTATACAACCAGGATATGTATATGTTAAGACCACCAGATTTATAACTCTGCATTTAACCTGATCACAGCACTTGGATAAAAGCTATGTTTAAATCTACTTGTCCTGGCTTTCAGCACTCTATATCGTCTTCCTGATGGTAGGATCTCAAACAACGAGTGGCCTGGATGTGAAGGGTCTCTCAAGATCTTTTGTATCTTCCCTCTACATCCCATGTTGTAGAAATCCTCCAATGAGGGAAGAGGACATCCGCTGATCTTTTGTGCCCTTTTTATCACTCTTTGGAGTGCCCTTTTCTCCGCCTCTGTACAACTCCTAAACCACACACAGAGGCAATAGGATAAAATGCTCTCTATAGAGCTTCGATAAAAGGCAAGCAACAGACTTTCTGGCAGTTGTTGTGATCTTAAAAGTCTTAAAAAATACAATCATTGTTTTGTCAGAACAATGAAAGCAGCATTGTGCTACTGCGGTGCAAACTCTGCTCTTTTTGTGTGCATCACAATGCAATACATATTTATTTATTTGAATGTATAAGCTGCTCAACTCTAATGGCCTCGGACATAGAAAAGGAGCAGGACCTCAGCAGTGGTGGGATTCAATTTTTTTTACTACTGGTTCTGTGGGTGTGGCTTGGTGGGCGTGATGTGACTTGGTGGGTGTGGCTTGGTGGCATGGCAGAGGAAGGATACTGTAAAATCTCCATTCCCTCCCCACTCCTGGGGGAAGGTTAGTGCAAAATCCCATTCCCTCCCCACCCCATTAACTTGCTTTTCAGCTCCGTTCTCCTGTGCAGGACAACAAAAGAAGACCTAGCCAACCAGCTGGGAGTCGAGAGGCAGAGAATAGATGGGGGCGGGGCCAGTCAGAGATGGTATTTGCTGGTTCTCCAAACTACTCAAAATTTCCACTACCGGTTCCCCAGAACTGGTCAGAACCTGCTGAATACCACCTCTGGGCCTCAATCATCCTGCTTCAATGTTGCTTTAGTTACCTAATTACCTTCTGCAGATACCACTGAAGAAAGAGAAACTTTGGATTTAACAGACACTTGCTTTTAATGAACATCTGCTTCTCCTGAAAGGTCTGTTAAATTGAGGTTTTACTCTTTCCTGGTTTGTTATCTTATGTACCATTTAAGTGGAAACATAGCTGACTATTACATAACAATTACAAAACTATACATAACAACTATTAGATGGTTATCTGCCAGGACAGGAAGCGTGAATTCAGTTGCCAATTTTGTCTCGCTATACATTGACACATGTATAATAGAAAATGTTCCGTATCACATTCCTCTTCTTCAGCTTGGTTATGATATCTGGGTTGCAAAAATTTGAAATACCCCTAGAATTTGAAATACCCCAAAGAGAAACAGAACAGTCTAACTCCGTGCTGCCATCCTTTGATACAGATGAGCTTATGGAATTTAGAGGTCTTTAAATTCCACTTTAGAACTTTAAAAGAGGATTTAGCTGGTCTGAGTCTGCAAATTCTTATAGCTGCCTCCTCCCTATTGCCATACTCCAAGACAAGGGAAAGGAGATAACACTGAAGTGTTTCACCCCAGCTGCTGCATTTTTTGTTGCACAACAAGGTATTGTTGTGTGTTATAGATAGGGAGGTTTTCTAGTTTTTTTCCTCTCCTTCCTTTGGCATGAGCTATGGAATTTTTGTAGTTCCTGGACAGTTGGTTTTTCTACATCCCCTTCGAGGGCAACCTTCATTCTGTCCATAGGCCCTTTTTTGTAAGCATTGTTTAGCATATACATTTCACTTTCCTTCATTCTAACAATGTGCAGCCATGGTTACACCTATTAGAAAAGGCACAGATGCAAAATTGTTGGCATGGCATCCTTTCATTAGCAGCAGGGTTTTCAGCACAACTGTGAAGTTTCTACCTCTGACATTTTATCAATAGCTCTGATATTTCTATAGGCAAATGCATGCACTATGTTCTAGAAATATGGAAGAAGCATGTTCATCCTCTCCTCTCCCCTTTCCTTTTCCCTTTTCTTCCCTTCCCTATGAGAGGAATTGTATTAGTCCAGGAATTGCAGATACTTGGGCAACCCCATTGATTGAATTATTGATCAGATGCTGGGAGAATATGGATTGGCCACACAATGTTCCTTGCTTGCTTTCTGCTTTCTAAGATCTGCAGTGAGGAAGACAACCAAACAAGGCAATTTGAGGAAAAAGAAAGGGTCCTTATATTTACCCTTTTTCTGTGTGCTTTTAGACTATAGTAATAAAAAAAGCTTTTATTTTGAGTAGCAGGTGTTTTGAGTAGGCAGGTACCCACAAGAGAGTAGGATAATGAGTTACCCTCATTACCCTCTTTTGCATGTGGGAGTTAAGAGTGATTAATGTCTCCTTTTGTGTGTCCATAAGTCATCTGGCTTTTTAAGAAGTAGCTCACTGAAAGAACACACACAATGATGAAAGTGCCCCCTCTGGACTTTAATTGCAAAATAATGAGTCACTGGCAGTCTGAGGTGAGATGGTTTTAGGTACAGTTTCAGCACCTCTTCTGCTGTTTGAATGAATGCAGTCTAAGGTGAATTTCACAGTAGGATTCTGCAGGACTTTGAAGCAAAGACAAAAAAGGTGCCTTGGATCATGCAAGGCATTCACAAGATACTGACTGAAAATCCTTCAAATAGTTAATGCCCCGCCCCCGATTGTTCATCTGGCTTCTGCACAGTCTCAAGAAAAGATGCGTTTTGTTTATGCTGGATTTGTTTCATTTGCTGAAAACAATATTTCTCTAAAACTTAGAGTGCAAATGCAGAGTGTACAGGAGGGTAGGATGTAGAGTTATCTAGTCAATAAATAAGAAATATTTGCTGTAGATGATGTTTGCTCAGCCTTTTTTCATTTAATATAAACAATTATAGATTTGGTTTTTAGTCCGTGTACAACTTGTTTAAATACAATAAACAATAAATAAATAAACAATAAATTGTTTAAATGAGTAGCTATTACCAGCTTGATTTATTCCAGGTGTGTTATATTTCAAATGTCATAATTCACAGATTTACTGTGGCTTGATGTGTGTGTGTGTGTGTGTGTGTACATGTGTATACATGTACACAAACACATACACATAAGCACACACATATGTATATACAATTGTATAATATTTGTGTAAGAGAGTTTGTAATTCAGTCAGTTTGAGCCCAAATATTAAAACTAATTTAGCTGATCAATTTTTGTTCTGGACAGTTTCAGGTTCATGTTTTTAAATACGAACAGTCAGTTTTACCTAATTAAATAGGGAAATAGGAGCTGCCCAGAGTCACTTTGCAAAATAAGATGGATGGCATATAATTTTAATAATTTTTAAAATAAAATTGTCATTATTCTCCCACAAGAGGGATCTACCCCAGTGTTTCTATCCTGTTATTTTGACTTCCTTATCAATCATGGAGTAGATAAAATGAAGGCAAGCTCGAACTTTATGTAGATGAGTGGATATACTGACCAAGTAAAGAGAGTCTACTTGTAAGGTTTGAGCTCTACTACAATGAACATTTTTCCACTTAGGGACAATCCAGTTAAGATAAGCAAAACCTTTCAAAACCAGAATTTGTATTCTACTTTGTGAAAACTGAACAGCTTCCTCTATTTTGTTTTGCTCTTTTACAGGTGGGATGTTAAGGAAGGTGATGAAATGCCCTTTTTAAAAGATGAATTTGATAATCAGGTGAGATAATGAAATATTTGCCCAGATATATGAAAATACACAATATAATACCTGAACTGGATTCATAGTTGAGCTAGGGCATGGTTTGTTTTGAGCCATATTGTATTGAATAAACTAGAATAGCTGGATTCATACAAAACATAATTAAACCAAATGAATCTTAGTGCAGTATGACTCCATTCAAGAAAACTTATTTTAAGGGTTGTCTAGGCAAAATTCAGGATAAACACAGTTTGGGGCTATGAGGTTTTTGTCAATAAAATCAGCAATCATTAGAGTACTTGGTCCTGATCTTAGTCACTAAGGTACAATGCATTACATTTCATTTTAAAATATAAAAATATTTCCAAATGTATTAGCAAATGCATAATTTGTGAAAATATCAACATTCATCCTTTTCTTTTTGTTTTGTTTTGTTTGAACAGCCCATAATGGCTTTTTCACATACAATGCTAAACCATAAATCTTGGTTTCATGTCTGGATTCATATATCTCATTGACACAATCACATTGTTTCTTTATCCCAATATTTTTGTGGAAATATATTGCATAGGTGGTACAATACAACATGGTTTTTTTGGCATAAAGTTGGCATGTAAATTGAATGAATAAATAATGAAATGAATGAGTGAAAATAGAACATTGGGAAATGTCAGGACTGGTATGGAAATAGATCAGCCAAAGACTTGTCTGGTAAAACTTGTTCCTCTTCTATAACATCTTTTAGACAGTTTCTTTAGAGTCAGATACTCTTAAAATTAACTTCAGGGTCCTCTGTTGAAAAATATCTTTCATATTTAAAACCTTCATTAAGAATTGAAGGAAACTCACATAATGTTTTCAGATTTGTTGATCCAAAAGTTTCTAATAGCTGAAAAAGAGTTAACAAGTTACTTCAAAAAGTGATTAGAAAAGGAAGTATGCAAACCCAGTGTCTATTCCCTTGTCTCCCAGAGCTTTAAGCCTACTGGAAACTGTTATCTTGTCATCTCCTCACAAGAAGCTCTTGTCTGGAGTCTTGTGGGTGATCTCAAGTCCTCCCCTTGTTCAGAGAGAAACTCTTCATTCTGCCACAGTCATCTGGTCCACCTGAGCCATCTACATTTCCTTATTTCTTTCTTGGAAGCAATGTTTATGCTAGTTGTAATGAAGAAGCAAGTAATTTCTTTGTATATTTTTTCTTCTATATTCTTATTTTTCTTTTCTATTTTCCTTTTATTTTTGCATTTCCTATTTTTTCTTTTTATTCTTTTTTTTAGTTCATATTCATTTTTTCATAAGTGAAATTTTTAATAAAATTACTATTTAAAAAAAGGAATTGCAGGATAGCTATTTCTGCTGCTGCTATTATAATTAATTACATCCACTTTTCTAGCCACAAGGCAGATAATAAAATATTAGTAAGTAAAAATATATAAAGCACATATTACACATTATTAAAAATGGATAAAGTCATATATATTATATCAATCTAAAAAGCCCCAGTAAAAGTGGAAAATTCCCCGGGGATTTCACAGTTTGAAAGCAATATAGGAGAAGATTTCTTTCTCTAAATTGGAAAAACGGATCTCAAAAACTAAGACATTGTTAAGATTCCTGCTTACCTTAACATCTGGACTTTAATGTGTCAAGGCAATCACTTAGTTAGGTTTTAAATTGTTTATTGTTTTAAGAATAAAGAATGACTTCTAAAATAGGGCCTGGAAAGCAGGATAGATAAGTGTATGTAACATAGTTCTGAATTCATATATTAATTAGCAGTTATATGTCTTTTTAAAAAAAATAAAATTTCTGGACTCCCCTCAAGGATAGTTCCATGTAGAGTACAATGCAGCAATTAAGTCATTAAAGAATGGGAAATTATTACCATCTTTACAATTGAGGAGGTGATGACAAATTAGGGAGATTTGCTGCCACAACCGCCTGACCCAGTGGATCAGAAAAAGTGGCAGGTACCTGATGTAAAACAAATAATATTATCGTTCTTTCCAAATAACTTGATCACATCTGTTGTAACTGGTGAAGTCATGGGACACCAGTGTCTACTCTGCCATAGTGCTATGGAATAGTGCCAGTAATTGCAGCTAATGTGAAGATAGGATTAAAGCATGTTAGTTGATTCTGCATATGCATTTTGAGGTAAGTTGCTATGAATGTATGATCACTATTGTTCTCATATGTATTGTTTCCCATCCAGTTAATGGGCAGCTATATTTATTTTTATTTCTAAGTAAGTTTTAAAAATAAAATTCTCAAATAAATTTTTTAGCACACTGGGTTGGAGAATAAGAAGATTCAATATGATAATGATCATCATTTGCACTTTGATATAAGGAAATGTGGGTGTTCTACTTGAGTTTCTCACATCAGTAATAAAGGTGAATTTCACTTCCGGTAGATCGTTACAGCTGATACCAATAGTTTTGAGTGGATCACTTTAAATGAATAACACAATAAGATTTAATTCAAGTTGTTTATTTTTTCTCCTGTGATTTTAGCAATCAATTAATGTGAAAGAACAAAAGAATCAAACTCTGGTCGGTGAAGCAGAGAAAGAGCACCATTTCCTACCCAGTTTAGAGAATTGTATAAAGCTAAAAGAATCTAATATTCCCATGCCACAGACCAAAATAAGTGAAATGGACTCAGCTTCAAGGGAAGTCCAAAGCTCAAATGAAGAATCCAGAAGGGGCCTTATCCAGGATGTTAGTAGAGATGAGACTGAGGTAAATCTCAAACTCAATAAGGCAATATCCGGCCCTGATTTGTCTCCTAAGACTAACTATAAGAATAGCTGCCTGGAAATTTCCAGAGTTTCTAGGGATGCAATTCAAGAAATCCATGAAAATTGCTTAGATAAAAACACATGTTCTGAAAGGCACCCTGAGGAGGATTCTGCTGACAATTTTAACAAGCTGCCAGATGTGATGGAAACAGGTAGCAGAGGCCAGGAATTGTCAGTAATGAGACAAACAGGAGAAATCCATATTGGAAGCCTGAAGAAGCAGGTAGCTCTTGGGACAGAAAAGAGTAACACAGCCTGCCTTGCACATGGGGAGGAAAACAAGACCTCCGTTGGAGAAATTCAAGGGATAAGGAATGAATGTGCACCAGAAGAAACAAAAATGTGCAACTTGAAGCAAGACAATCCTGAGTCATGCAATAAGGAAGTACATAATTAATCTAAAGATGAGTGGAGCGCCTAGCAGGCTGAAGATTAGCGTATGGTATTTTGTTCATTTATATAGATTTTATAGTGTATACTATCTTAACACTCAGGGAAGGCAACCTACTGACACCTAAAAGATATGGGGTGCAGTCCCCCACAATGTTCTTTCTAAAGCGCTATTGATATGAACCATCAAAATGCAAGATTTGAGTAAATATGCCTCTTGTAAGAACAACGATATTTGAGGGATGAGGAAGTACGCTATTACTTGGTTTAAACTGAGGTGAAATGGTTTACAGATTCAGAATACTCCAGGATATATCAAGTTTGATGAAGACCATGTCTACAAGAAGGCAGCAACAATGATGAAGACTTAGAGATCAAAGTTTAGGAGGAACATCTGAAAAAGATGTATATGCTTATCCTAAGGAACATATTATCAAGAAGTGATAGGATAACTACTTCAAGTTATGAAAGCCTGGGAGATAGCTGATAGAAGACTCATTATTCTGCAGAGTAAGATGCAAACCAGTAGGGCAAATATTAGGAAGATCTTCCTGACGGAAGTGGAAATGAAAAACTGTATGAGTTTTTTCAACAAAGGTTGGCTGCCTTTCTATCAGAGTTCTTGTTACAATACTTTTTGCTTTAGTGACAATTGCACTAGTTGATTTTTGATTTTTCTTTCAAATCTGGGATTGTTTAAATAAATAATTTTTTAAAAAAGCTTTAAGCTTTATATTTGGCCTGTTCTGCTTATTTGCAGAGGTAAAATATTCCATGAAAAAGAATCAGATGTGAGAATCCAAAAAAAAATTACTTTCCCTTAATTTTTTAAAACCTAGATTATATTACTTTGACTGCTCAGAAATTACTCAGTATTTTATGACTAGACAGAATGTCTAGCTTCTTTTTGATTTTACATATTTCCACATAAGATGGTCATTTCTCTTCATACTGATACCCATCAATGGAGTTCTTGCATAAGATTTCACACGCAGAACTATTAATAGTAGTTTGTTTTAAGGTAGAAAAATGTAATGCTTTCATTCTTGAGCCTAATTTGTTAGTTTAATTTTTTGCATAACATTATGAAGTCTAGAGAGTTACCTAGCTGGCATGATGCACCCCTGGGCTCATAAAACTAAGGCCCCAACTTCATTTCCTAGCAGACTAAATGCTCATTTGCTTAACTTTCAGTTCTTCTATCCACAAGAGGCCATAGGTAGGCCTTTACCAAATTTTGTTTAAAATTTCATGAGTTTTCATATAGCATGCTCACTTCTACTTATTTATTTATTTAAATGTTTAAACTGCCCAGTAGCCAAAAGAACTCAAAGAGTTTCTTTCAGAAGAAAAAGATATGCAATAAAGTCAGTAATAAAAACCATTAGGGAATAAGAGTATATGTTTTGGAATCAAATATTTTTGTGTAGCCTTCGAAAAATGTCAGATTCAACAGAAATTCATATATTTGTAAAAACAAGGAACTGAGACAAGCTGAAATTGACAGATTAATAAGAAGTAACCAAGAAAAAGAATGATATATTTGCTTGTATCTAGTTAAGTTTTCTCTATTGATTTTGTATCAATAGGTACCATAACAGAGATAACATCAACATGATAATAATAATGATGTGATTAATATACAGTATCTGTGTACAAATTCAAAATCTGGAATATATGGGAGATGTTATCATGATATATATGTGTAATCATTTGCCCTCACCCATGGGGACAAGCATTTGCCATGTTTGTTTGTGTCTTTCTCCTACAATCTTTCCCCATGCAGTGTGGAAGGAAAAGCTTCTTAGAAGAGTGGGGTACAAAAAGAGACTGTCTCATATTCCAGAGAACAATGGCAAGTACATAGCATGGCAGGCAAACAGAAGAAAAAGAGTATTCTCCCTTACATAGTCCATAAACTATGACACAATAGTGACTTATAATTTTAACTGTTGATTTGTTCAGCATTTTAGCATGATTTAGGGACCAGACAAGGGAAAGTCATTCATGTTCTGTAAGTGAGAAAAAAAGATGTTGAAGCACCTAAACATTCATTTTGATTTTGCAATTGCATGTAGAGTTTTTACCAACCCCAGAAGGATGGAAGGCTGAGTCAGCCTTGAATTGGTCAGGATCGAACTTCTGGCAGTGGAATGCAGAGTTAGCCTGCAGTACTGCTTTCTGACAACTGTGCCACCATAGCTCTTTTCCTAAGCCATGATGATTAACTTAAAACCAAAAGTTCTTCTTTGTGGCCCCCACAAACCAAAATGGTTTCTACCACTGTAGGGCAAGAATTACAAAGGCAATCTGTGTGATGAATCCTAAGGTAGGTTTAACTCATTCTAGTGAAATGAAGGGGGGGGGGGGATCAGAAAAAGAAAATTGTCAGGTGCAAGCGACCAGAACCACTCATGGTTAGGCCCAAGTAGATATTTTATTGTTGATCACCTTTATTACAAGAATCTCTCCAGACTGTCTGCCTTCCATTGGTAAATGACAGACATAGAACTACGGGTTTGATCTCAGATGCTTCTTCCCCTGAACAGACTCCTTCAGCCGGTGGTTCCATCACAGATATCTTGACTTGCTGAATTTGGATCACTATGTGACTCGCTATGGTCTTAATTCTTCCCAAACAATGATTTAATAAATATGGCCTCTGGAACCCAAAAGCTAACATTCTTGACCTAATTAAAGTGCAGTGTTTCACAATGTCACACTAACACTTTAAAAACTGACCAAGAAGTCAAAGAATACAATTTTATACATGATAATTGGAAATTGCAATGTGGGGATACTTACATTTCAGTAAATTTTACTGAAGCCAAAGCCCACAGAAAAATACTTTCTTTCTTTGTATCTAGATGATTGCTTGGGAAGATTGATATATTATTACCCATCATTCTTAATTATCCTGCAAATGGTAGCTTCATGATCTGTGGAGAACACTCCGAGGAAAGGTGAGTCTAAGAAATCTCTGCTTGAAGCACTGGGTGAATTCCTTGTTCAGGAACACACAATGTCACTATCTCCAGTTTTTCCACTGGCATTTTGTCTCCCAGAAATGTTATTATCCTCGTTGTTCTCCTCATCTTCTGCTTCAGATTGACAAGAAATGTGCTTTTATCCAAAATGGAAACCTAGAATCCTTTGCAAGAATTCTAAAGGAATGCTGAGAACTTATACAGGGGTGTGTGTGTGAAATCACAGAGACTTTGTCATTCATTTTTCTCAAAATGATTAATTTCAAGAACACAGCTGGGAAAATATCCAAAGTAGCCTGGAACTGATTTTAGCCTTCTTTCCTGATATAAGCAAGAACAATACAGCCAAAGCCTTGCACGGAATGGATCTGAGGATAAACGTACAAGATCAGCTTTAGAATAAGAGGGCACATAGAAGGTTAGCATGATTGAGCAATACAAATTACTTGTCTCAATAAATACAACAAATTGGTTGTTTTGCCTCTCCCCAACAAGCTTTTATTTTAGTTTTGGAGTAGCAACACAATCCCTTGCAGAATTTAGCTGGTGTGATTTGATTTGATCAAAGAATGTTTGAAAATGACTGAATAATTCAAAGAAAAAACAAAACCCAATGAAACCAGAAACACAACTCCAACTGTGCTTCTCCAAATGTTCTGCTGATTTTTCATCATTGGAAATTTAGTTGGAAATTTGTACACACACAAACACATAAAACAAAGACATGATTGTTAATTTTTTTATTGATTTCTATTAACAAATGCTGGTTTTGACCCATCTGGCATTTCATCTAGTTTTGCTTTGTGATTACTGAGCATTAAACATCTGTCAGCAAGATGCAAGCTCTTGCATTTGAAATGTAAATACTGCTAAGTGCTAATTCAGCAATTCTGAAAAAGCACTGTGCAGTATCCTGAAGAGAAATCCATTTTCCTCCTCTCTCCCTTTCTGGTATTCAGCCAAACAGCTCTTGCACACACATAAATATCAAAGAGGAACCAGTATATCTTCCCTCCTTAAAAAAAAAAAAAACTTAGAAGCTGCTGATAAGTTTACAGCTTGAAATAAATAATTATTCTCAGGATTACAATTTCCAAGTGAATACCTTCTTGAAATGCATTTGCACAGTTGTGGCTTAATGTTCTAAATAAATATGTACTGTAACTCTTTGGTTCTAGCTGTGCAAATGTAGGAACAGAGAACAAGAGAAAACTGGCCATTATTTTTTATTTTATTTTAACAGGCATGTCCAGCCCATAAACTACATGTGGCCCTGGACAGCTAGTAATGCAATCCTACAAAGTCGTAAACTTTTAACATTATTAGGTGATTTATATACATTGACTATATATTTTATATGCAGCCCAAAACAATTTCTTTTCACTCAATGCAGCCCAGGAAAGCCAAAAGGTTGAACACCCATGATTTATAACTAAAGTTCTTCCGGCGATTGGGGTGTTTTTTTCACTTTGATTCTGAGCTTGAATAGAAACAAATCCTGTACAATTCTGGAAACCAAGTCACAAAATGGTGCTTTTGGCCTGTCTCACATGAACACTCTCCTGTGATCCATAATGCAAATCAAGATATGTTAGTGAAAGCTCAGAAGCCAAGAATCAGTTTATAGGGGGGAAAAAAGTCAAGAACTTGAGGGGAGAGAGAGAGCAAAGAACTATATAGGCTCAATAATGGTTACCAGACAATTACATTCATAGAACAACTGGCAATACAACCACTTGGCGGTTCTGAGTCTTAAAGGCTGTTTTGGACTTCAGGACTCTATTCTCTGTGTCTAGGACAAGGGTATCAAACTCTGCCAGTGAAAATGGCTCCTGAGCTTTCTGGCTGTGATGGCTTCCTGTAATCCTCTGCTAGTAAAAATGGAGCTTGGGAGAGCTGCATGAGGCCCTTTCAAGTTCAGTTTCTGGCTGTGACAGCGTCCTGCAACCTTCTGCCAGTGAAAATGAAGCTCGCAAGTGCCCATGCGGCCTTCCCAAGCTCTGTTTTCGCTGGGCAGAGGCGCCACGGGCCAGTCCTTCACTGTTTCCATGGGCCAGATCTAGACACCCGGGCTTTGAGTTTGACATCCCTGGTCTAGGAGATAGGATATAGGGTGATCTACTTGCAGAACAGGTGTCAGATAGATTTATATTGATATTGCATCCTGTTTAATGGTACAGAGCTCATAAGAAAACTCTCCTCAAGAGATGCTTTTAAGGTCCATGCTTCTCTCAAACATGATACAAGTTCTTTCCTCTTAAGAACAAGATCCATTTGTGATAGGGAAGAAAGGGAAGTCAGTAAAATAGAATAGATGGATAATTCAAGGAATATATGATTCAGGTTAGTGGTTTCCCCTTCTTTAGTATTGTTGCACACATGGGGATCATTTAGTTAATTATTTAACCAATGCCAAGATGATATTCACATAAATTAATGATTCATATAAGTAAATAGGAAATGTGGTGGTCTTGATCTTGATTGGAATCCTAGTTTACATAACATTTCTTACTTAAACAATCTGTTTAATCACCCCTTTACTTATCAATGCTATTTAGTTGAGAAAAAGAAGTTTTATTCCAATAAATATAGTGAGAAAACTCATATTTTTGATGAGGACTATTGCAGAGGATAAAGTTTAACCCTACCTGCCCTGTTTTCTGGACTCCTATTCTTCAATGGACTTCTATGACTGCAATTTGCTTTTCAAACGCTACTTACTGTAGGCCAATGCTAATTG